TGGGAGCACCCGGCCGGCACCGACGGCCGTCGTGACGCTCCGCGACGCGTGTGTGCGTTCGTTCGTTCGCGTAGGTATAGAGGTAGAGAAGTAAAAAAGGAGTATAAAGAGGAGAAAGATCCGTCTGCGACAAGAACGAGAGGAAGCCGTGTCGTGCGACAGGTACGGAGAAAACCGTCGAGCTTTCGCCGGCGCGGCGCGGCGCGACGCGAGGCGACGCGAAACGGGGGTTAACGGTGTGTCGGCGAGGGGGTTGCGCCGCGAACCCTACGAGAAAACCGGGAGTTCCGTGGCATCTCGGCGACGCTCGTGACCGCTCCGATTCGCGTCGGACGACGCGTAGTGGCCTTTCCCCGAAGAGCAACGTCGCGGAAGAGACGCTTTTTCTCTTATTGATTCAGCAGCCCTTCGGTTCGCGGCCCGCGACGCGATCGCTCGATAAGCTGCGTATCCGTACGCACGCATCGTATTTTCGGCAGTGAGTCACTCGCGCGCGCGAGACTTTAGCCCCTATCGATTAAAAATTACTTTCCACCCGTATGATCCTCGACGGGTTAATCGTTTTCTGGGAGGACGTAGATTATTGCTTTTTTCGAGGTCGGTTGCTTGTTGCTCGCATACCACGAACTGGTGCGTCGGACGGTCAATCTTTCTTGGAGGAACGAATTTCACGCTTAGCCATGTAGATTATTCGGTAATCCTTAAAGATGTTACGGTACTGATGCAGCATTAACGTGTCAATGCGTAGAAATAATGTTTTAATCAAACAAATATATATAATATATATAATATATGTGTATATATATATATATATATACACACACATATATATATATTATATATATTTAAATATTTTTCGTATTAAAGGATTTTATTTGATTTGATATGTTTGTGAAAAACATTTGTTCTTTACGCCACAAGAGAATTTTCGTGAATATGTAAATTAAATTAAAAAATAGATTCGTTTAACACATTAATCACTATCATTTTTTTATTATCATCACTTTTATTAGTTTCAATGTGATTTTGTTAATTCTGAATAATCAACATTACTTTCCCATTTTTATTGAAAATCACTTAATGCAAATAGTGATTAATGTTACAGTGATTTTTATCATTAGAGAGTAGACACGATTTCAATATTAAGTAGTACATACAGTAGGAAATTAAAATTTGTGAGTGAGATTTATGAATATTTCTTCAATCGAATGTGACATAGCTTTAACCTACGTATTGAATGTCATTGAACGTCAGTTTGTTAAGGGTTAAAATCTGTTTGTTATCAAGCCGCCAGATAATGGCATAGTGCAACTCGAGTCTCCCTTTGTCACATTGTATTTTGTAGCAGCTTGAATTGTATCGTGTGAAAAAAGCTTCTCCTGAAATTCTCGACAAGCTGTATTGCGCAAATACTAAATTATTACGAGCTGCAGTAAAGCTGCAAGCTGCTTCCATATTTCCCACGTAATTATTGCACTTATGCAGTAAATAGCAGTATATGAATATATTGTAAAACACGTTAGATCGTATATTTATATTTGATACTATAAATCTCACTATAAATGTAATTTTTAAACATACGTATGAAGAACCTTTCTTTGGAAAAAGAATTATAATAATGAAAGGAAAATTGATTAAAGGGAAACTGATAGCAAGATTAAAATAATAATTGATATGTTATTAAATTTTTTTAATCTAATTTATATTTAAGGAAATTCTAGATCGCAGTAAACGAATGCATCGAATGCATTTTTTATAGAAACAAATATCTATTTGTATCGGGGAAATTATTAATATCATGTTTTATTTTGTGACAATTTTTTTATATTACATTTATACTTTTAATTTTACATTTAAAATTTTTATATTTCATATTTACAATATTCAACACTTAATTTTATTATAATTAAATATAATATTAGTTTATAGCAGAGAGAAAATTGTTTAATTTTATACATTATTTTGTAATTCATGTAAAATCTATATATATCTATATATATCTAGCCAGCACATATTAAATTATATATAAATTTGCGATTGCTAATTTAGCTTGTCGCGATTTGTCTTATACAAATAAAGATACACAATATGGAGTAAATCATTTTCATCAATAAATAAATAAAATGTGATAATCAAAATTATTCAGAGAGAGACAATCTATTCCGCAAGATATATTTTGTTCAATACATAAATGATAAATGTAATAATTATTAAAAACAAATCGGGAGAAAAACAATTATTTCTATGGGTATACAAAGAGTTAAATTACATTGCTATTAATATTAAATATGATGTTACTTTGAACTATTATTAAAAGAATACGCGAGTTTAATTTACTGCAAAATTTAAAGCACTAATTTGTAAGCAATTTGTTAAATTAAACTACTTGCGGGTGACAAATTTTTCTTTGAAATTGATTTTCTATTATTTGCATGTGAGATTTTGCAAACGATTGATTTAAGAATTAAGTCATATTAAAAAAAAAATGTTTAATATTTATAATATTTATAATTCTACACTAAAAAAGAATACAATATTTTTTATAATTTCACAATTATATAAATTTGTATAAAATTTGTTTATATTTATTTTTACGTATTATCTTACATAACCTTATATTGTATTAACTTTGCAAAGTAATCGATTTAATTGAATTGGTCAACTAAAATTAACTGCAATTTTTTTTCTATGTATCCAATTTTTTGAGGAATTAAATATTTCCTTATCACAAATCAGTTGTCAAAAGAAAATTTGACGCGTGCGCGCCTTCAATTTCTGATTTCGCAGATTCAATAGTTAAAAAATCCAATTTCTCAAACGGTACGTGAGAAGAACGTACGATATAAGTTGTTCGATATCCATAAGACATCAGGGCGTAATGCAATGGATGTAACCCGATGCATTTTACTCAATGCCTGCTGAAGCTTACATCGCGCAACTTGGGGATGGAAATTTCGGCCACGAGGCTCTACCACGGTAATCTTATCTGCCGCAACTTGGTGACACCAGCCGGTGACTTAAGCTGAAACGTCAACTATCGGCTATGACAGTCGATATCGAGCTACCTCGATCCTCGTCGAAATCTAAAAGCAGCCGATGCGATGCTTGCCCGATATAATCGACAAACCGATTACTTAACTTCTTCTCAAATTTTACAAGACTACAATTATTTTTGCGTTTTATCTTTTCAAATTTTATTTCATTTATTTCGCAACACTAATATGCTTGCAGGATACATAATAGGTTTTCCTTTTAATTATTTTATTAGAACTTTTTTTAATTTAAAAGATAAAAAAACGTCCTGAAACATAAGATAGTATAAAACATTGAAGAAATACACATAAGGATAAAATTATTCAGCATTTGGGAAATTTATCATTTAAATTAACTACTTACATTGACATAGAGTCGATGAAACGAGATTTGCACGCAATATTAACTTAGCTTGTACATTGTTCCACATAACGAAGTCACGTGCTCCAACAATACTCCAAAAATTTAATTTTAACCACAGTATACGGTTGACTTTTTTCTGCAGTTGTGTACCCGGACGCGGCGTCTTGCATATTCACGTTCGCGTCGTCTGGCGACACCGACGTTGTGGCGGAAAGGTGTAATGCAAGACTCGCAATAAGCAAAAAACCTAATTCTAAGGGCGTTAATACTTGCGAGTTCGCGCGTTAATCCGGATGTGGCAGCAATTCGCCTTACATTTTCTGCCATGCAAACATTCTGCCGAGCGTTCTCGGTAAGAGGATAGTCGCGTCTCGGGAGTTCTCGCGGCAGGATGCACGATTATACCTTGTCTCTTCGTTCTGCGAATTTTAAAAAAAAAAAAGAAAAAGAAAAAGAGAACGAATCGGAGATAGAGACCGAGAGCGAGGCGAAAACAACCCCTTTGTGCGAGCCCGCGGGAAATATGCATGCCCGCATTGATATGCATACGGTGTCAAGTAAATTTGCATCGAGTATCGTGCGAAAATAGAGACCTATCATTTGCCATGATATAACGAGAATAGTAAACGCCGCGAATACTTTGTTACGTACACGCCATTTGCAACTGAATCGGCCAGTGTCAATTCACTTTTGCAGAACTGAATGATATTCTCGCGATCGTCATCACGATAGCTAGTTGAATTCATCTTTTACAATGCGCTATCATTATTAAAAGCTTCTACATTTTTTTTTTAGCGATAGCTGCTTCTCTTTCTTTTTGCAATATTGAAACGTTGCATTGGATCGAGCGTTTAATCAGCAGAAGCTACGAGGTACTTTTTAAAATATTCCTGTAAAAATTTATTCTACAAAATTTTTGGCGAATAATAATTGTGCACAATTATTAAATAAAATATTTGAGACATTAATCGATTTTAAAGTTACGAAAATTATTCTGATAAAATATATATTCTTTTCGTCGGAATTTGAATTTTTATGTTTTACTTATCGGTTCTTTGGTTTATTTGATCCACAGAGAATCAACGGGGCTCGCGTGATCGGTTGTCGCAGCATTGATTCATAGCGTTGTGACGAGTGTCTCGAACCAGTGCATCTCGAATTGCCTGGTAGTCGCGAGTAATTAGTGATTTGGTAGATAGAGAGAGAGAGAGAGAGAGAGTGTCTCGTGTGTGCCGCGTAGTGATCGACAGAATTTGCTGGAGCATGCGACAGTAAGGACTTATCGACCCCAGCGACGTGCATGTTTATCGCTGGACAATGGCTGGACTACGCTACATTTGTTGGCTCTTCGTCATCCTGGGATACCTATCGGTCGTTCTGGTGCTTGCCCAGAACCCTGTGGAGGAGAAGACCACCTTCGAGGCTGCTTTCCAAGGTGAGCCGTTTTTATTTGTCCTCCTCTTGGATTTATAGACTCTCCGTCATCATTAACTACCATTACGTAAGTGATATGATATATACGATTTGACTTGTTTTACGATCGGTATTAGCTGTTATAAAAAGAAGCTGCAGATCGCCCTTGAGGCCGTGAGATTGATGCACAACATTCTCAAACCGAAAAAGTCCTAATGATTGCTTTTAACATTAAAATTTACGTTTACGAATAGAATGAAACTGATGTTTTGTTACTATAATATATATTTTATAAGTCTCTATAACGAGTCTCGTATTGTGAAAGTTATTTATTTTATAATGGCTGAATGAATTGTACTTGCACTGCAGTAAAAGAATTTTATGAAACCATTTAATGCCTATAAAAATAACTCGTAAATTGTAGCGTTCTGTCTGTCGATTATTCTCTTACAATTAGTTCGTAAATGGTTTTAAATTTTCTTTGATCAATTTTATTCCATCTCAAGATAATTATACTACCTGTTATAGTTATATATTTAAACTTATTGCATTTTCATGTATACGATGACATAATAATAACTCCTATCTCAGAAAGAGGTTTTAAATTATTGCTTCTTGTTGTGTATGTATATGTGTGAATAGTAACGCATATAGGTATATATATTGAATAAACAAATAATATTTTTTTAAAAAATATTGCACAGTAGAATCATTAAATTTTCTATATTGAAAAAGAGAAGGTGTATACATCGCAATAATCGAGCATTAAAAAACATTAAAGATACAGACAATCGAAGAATTTTACTAATTAACAATTGTGCTTAGAAAATGCATAATAAACATTATTTATTTTATAATGCGACGTTAATAAATTTTAATGGTAAACAATATTTCAAAATTACTTAATATCAATAAAAATATATCAAAAAATTTTAATTCCACAGCTATAATTCATAAAACTCTTTCAGTTATTTTTAGTTATGTTTTTTATAAATATTAAATAGATTTATTCTGATACGATCTTTTTTCATGTTAAAATAATTTAGACATGATTATATTAAGAGAAAGCTAGTATCAAATTATTTAAAAATATACTATATTGAAATATTTTTTAACGACTTCTTTGACCAATTTGAATTCAATTATATCTTAATAAAAGTATTAAAAAAGCAATAGTGTCTAGTTATATAATAATCCTTAAAAAATTAAATATTTTAAGAGGAGATAATTAAATTTTGTCATGAAAAGGTAATAATATCTTAATATAAAAGAAAAAAATTTTTTTTATTATTAATTATATACAGTTTGTTTTCTTGAAAATAAATTATAAATCGTTAATATAAAATTATATTATATGTCGCAATATTTAATAATTGGATTAATATTGACAAAGATTAAATATTTTTACAAGCAACATAAACATTTAGAAATTAAAAAATTATAATTTTTAAATATAAAAAAATTAATTGTATACTTTTTATAAAGATTTTATAACAAATCATAAGTTGACCTTAGATGTATTCTAAGTATTTCAGTAAATCTTGAATAAAGATTTAAATGAAAAAGTTTCAATTAAGAGAGACATAAAAGATGTAAAAAAAGTTAAGTTCATTTTATAGCGAGCAAGAGCTTATGATGTATTTTTTGTAGCCTGGGGCTTATAGGAGTTTGGTGACAATTCGTCGTTTATATGGATCATAGATTCAACTTTTTATTTTTTCTTACTTTATCGCATGACGTAGATGTATTCTGTTATATTTTTGAATTACACTGCAAAATAAAAAAATTTATATTCGTCATTTTCGATTTTACTTTTTGATTAGCTTAACTAACTTATCGACTTTAAAAGTGCCACTTTAAATAATTGAATTCGTTTTTAAAATACATTTCGTATCGAAAATCCATATCCATTCGATAAAAAGTTAACGACAACGTCTCTCGACAACTGTCGATGTGAAAAGTTTGAATAGAAGATATCTTATGGCGCTTTTCTATTATTTCGAAAAAAATTTTGCAGGTTTATGTCTATTTGCGACGTTAGTTATTCTTAACTTAATGAAGCGGTCGGATAATTTTTGAAAAATTACCTCGCGATGACTGAATTTTACCAAGCGACGAGTTGAAATTTGCGCAAGCGAGCGGACGAGAGACGTGAAAAAGAGTCGAGCCAGCGAAATATTTTGCGTCAGTCAGTGAAATATCTGTCGGTTGCCGGCGCGACTGTATCCAGTTAATTGTAGCCTTCATATCGATCCTCTCGAGAATGCGAGAGTGCCGTGGGATCGAGTCGCGCGATAATGTTCGCAATTTCCAAGCTGCCGTGCGTAAACACTTCTGACCGCTCAACGACGACTAGCTTTTGCTTTCGCAATGTTCGCACATGTATTTGAATATTCAAAATATTCCGAGAATGTGGTAATGCCTTTTGACTATGTGTCAATATGTACATATCTACTTGTTAGTCTGCCAAATCGCGATAATGCTAATCGCGTTAGCACATGATCAATGGCGTACGTTTAATATGCTTGCATTTTCAATTAGCGCAACATGATAACTACTTTGTTGCACGCTGCAAATATTGTCGTTTATTCTATCACAAATTGCAATAAATAGGATGTAAGGAAGATAACGGTTAAACACAATGAATTGCGATTATACATTGTTATATATTATATTTAAGATAAGATAATCCGTGTATACGGACCCGCGTTTAATATAAATCATCTGAGCTTTTAAGAAGCTGCGACCAGGCAATGTAATTAAAAAAATTAATTAATTCATTAATGAAAAATAGTAATCGAGATATAATCGCTTCAGAATGAATACATCGTCGTGCAATGTCGTGCAATGCAAATTCCGTGATATCGTCGTGATACGAAACGTGTTGATTCAACAGTAAAAACAATGCCGTTGGACTATGCGTTAAATTGAATTATATGTGACCTGTTGAAATGAACTGAATTCCAGTAAGGCCGACGTTATTCCGCGCTAAACTATTCGGTGGATTCGTGGCGGTCGCGCAAGTATTTATGCAACATTTACGATCGATTAATGCGCGGAGCCGCACGAGAATCGATACACCAGTCCCGCCAAAAGCCATTAGAGCTTTATATTTCCGCCATTTTCTCCAACCGACATTGGTCGGCATGCTGTATTGTCATGAGCTCTCCATCTCAACTGCCAATATTCCAATGGCAATAACGCGAATAATGTCGACCGATTTTTCATCGCAAATGAATGCAGACGTGTCACTGCTATGGCATGAAACAAGATGACTTTCATTTATTTCTCATAGCAATCAGCAAGCGTATCCCATACTAAATGGAACTGATAATTATGCATGAGTAAGATTATAATTGACTTTTCAATGCAAGCCTGGATAGAATGATTTTGAATGTAAATATAGATATATTTAATCTTGAGTCATTGATTTTCAAATATTCAATTTTTGAAATTTTCGATTTGAAATTTTTCTCTCTTTATGCTTAGCTACCTCTAAGCATCTAATAAATTCACAAAATTTTATTTTCAAATAAATAATGAATTAGATTTAAATCAAAATTTTGTGATTTAAGAACATTTTTTTAGTTACATAATGTATCGAATCAAGCACAGAAGACGTCGCGCAAATAATATAATGAAGTGTGAAACTTCTTTATTTACTAAAACGCGCTTACATGTTTTAAGGTAGATGTTTGAATTTTTGATCACAGCACCCGGTCTCTCAAAAAATAGGTACAATCGCGGGATTAGTTGATAGGATAATTTTGCTTTCGAATCTTAAATTTTACCTTGATATTTTGTGTTTTATTATTACAGTGTTGTTAGAGAACGATTATCCATTGAACTTTATATTTGAAAACATTAACAATTGTTTGAAGAAAATTATGGCTAGTAATAAGAAGAATGTTATTAATGATAATAGGGTTGAAGTAGTGCAGCCTTCGTGGTTCACTGTTTCTTTCATTCGTGGTATTACTGAGAAGTTTAGTAGATTAAATAGCGAGCGTATGAGGGTTTAATTTTGTAGTACTAATTAGTTTTATAGTATTAATAAATTGCGAGAATTCATTAGGATAAGGACTAGCATAAGGACTCTTTACCGCGTAACAAGAAGTCGAATGTTATTTATAAGATCTCGTGTAAAAGTTGTGATGCAAGTTATGTGGGACAGATGTGTAGACAGTTGAGATAAAAAATCACGGAGCATAAGAATCACATCTGATGGAACACATCTACTCGTAATGTCATAATGGAGCATCGGTTACAAGAAGGCCATGATTTCGATTGGGACAACATTACAATACTGGACGAGGAGCCTCACCACAGGAAGAGATTGATTTCGGAGATGATATTCATTAGGAGACAAACGCATGGACTTAACATGCAGACGGATATGGAGGAGCTTCCCAAGGCCTATCTCCCGATCATAGACAAGCTATAAAGACTTGAGTTGTTATCACGTTTAGTCAGTCAATATCGTTCGTACGCAGTAATGAGTCTTTCTGGCGTATTTATCGATTATTTTCCAACTTCCTTGTTCTTGGAATTGATTAACGCTTTAATGTTACATTTTTCCATTTGGTAAAATCTCATCTCGGAAAATTACTAACTAAAAAACAAAAAGTGACTCACTGTGTCTGATACTGACTGGCCAACATTATTAGGAGCTGGTTCTATTTTTTTAGTAATGTTTGCGATATGGTGCTCTGTGAACATGGTGAGCGTTCTTATATTTGCTGGATAATTAATTATAATCTTAAAGTTCTTTGATAAATTAATTCTCTCTCTCTCTCCATATTCTATTTTACGATATTTTAAAATTTCTTTTTTCTTCTTTTCCCTTTTCCTTTTACTTTTTTTGGTTTTAATTTCGACATTTAAATTCTCGATGTAGAAGAGTTCACCGTGACAGGATAATTTTTATTTACAGTTTTTATATATAGTTAGTTTATATTACCTATAGTTAGTTATCTATAGTTAGTTTATGTTATCTATAGTTAGTTTACGTTGTCTCTGAGA